GAGAAAGGATGCTGTTCTAATGACTTCTGGATGGTGTTTCAGTTCTACTCTCTTGGCTCCCTTTGGGATCCAGGGACTGTTTCATGCCCATGAGAAACAAACATGTTCCTTTAAAAAAAGAGGGAAGGAAAAAAAAATGTATCACATCTGTAGGTATCTCTAATAGATGGCTCTTAATGGTTGTGAAAAAAGATGTTGTGAAATCCTTATGAGTTTGTGCCAGAAAATCTCTGTTGCATTCTCAGGAATACGATTGCTGGTCCATCAGTGGGCATAATTTCACCCAGCTCTACAATGGGGAGGGTATTTGCTGCAGAGGCCTGCACAAAACTCTGACTGCATTCATCACCCTCATTCTGCAGTAAATCTCTCTTGTGCTTGATGTGGTGAGGAGCAGACATGATTTTTTGATCACATGAGGAGCACAGACTTGAGACTTTGATGTTGTGTTCACGTTGGTGGTACTTGTTCTCTTGATGGTGATTCTTCATTATTCCCGTTCCTTCCTGATTAGTTTTAGGGCACTGCCATCCACAGATCTTACTGAGTGCAGTAGCCAGTTATTAGTACTTCTAGGCCACCACAGCTATGTTGTCACTGTATTATCATCAGGTAATTTTTGTCTTATTTTTGCTTTTTAAGCTTTTCAGCCAGCTACAAATAACACGTTATTAAAAAATGGAAGCTCATTGTGTTGTTACTGAACCATATGCCTTGAGGGGAAAAAAAAATGCTGTTAATACTTTTGACAGTGTTGTAGAAGTTGGCAACATGCTCATATTCTGTGTTTTTGACAGAAAGGCAGGCTGACTTTGACATTTATATTTTGACACTCTAAATTATTTGGCTGACATGCATATTAAAAACAAAACAAGAAAAAACCCCAAACAACATCCAAAAACTCTCCAAACTCTATTCTTTCCACTACTAGCCTCTAAACAAAGAATTGAGAATCACATTTAAATATACTGGTGTCATGAGAATTCTGTTGTGGTCAAGCACAGATATAAAATCCCATTGTCCCAGATTTCTCTCTTCCATTCCAGTCTTCAGTTTTGTGTTTCCATATGTATTTGTCTTAATTTTTTGACTATTGTTTTTCCCCTGTGCTAACTGTTAACTTCCTTTCCTTTTTTGCATTGTCTACCATAAAAATTAGTCTCTCAAAACAAATACACGTTTATTGGATTGGTGAATTGGGTTTTATTGCACTTTGCTGCTCTCAATAAAGTATAATGATGCAAACAATATAAGGAGAGGGTGTTTTAATAATAATTAATCCAGCTGCAAGAGGTATTCCAGTAGCTGAAACTATAGCAGTAACAATATTTTCTGTATGTGTTTAATGTCATTACAGAAATCTTTTGCAATAGTAAAATTAGGCCTTCTGGCATTACCTTTAATCTACTGACTGACAGATCACCTCTCATTTGCTGATGGTGACCAGTTATCAAAGGCTGAATGCAGCTATCCTTCAACATAGCTAGAAGTTATCTTCTCTCCTGATAACTTAGTTGAATGGGGTGAAAAAAGACTCTTAGTTGTCTTAATCTATACCACCCTAAATAATTACATTGTTTGAATAATTTGTTTTTTAAATGTCAAAATGCCAAAAAAAGGCGGAAGGACAAAGGGAAAGCTGAAGAACCTTAGACATGCCACTTAAGTCAGCAAGAGCAATCCTGTGCTTTTTGCTTAGTTTGAGTAGTTGGGTTCAATACATTTTTCTTTAATCTACTTTTCTGTTCTATAAGTCTATTCCATGCTCAGAAAATAATCTACTCTTAGTTATTGTTTTCGATTGAAATGTATGGTTTGGTAACTCTTATGTTAGGGAATTTTTTGTGTTTCTCACACAAATGAAATCATGAACTTTGATACTTTCTTAAATTGGCATCAGGAGGAAAGGGTGTCCAATGCAGAAGAAAAAGTAGTATGAAAAAGTCACTTTATAAGTTATGGATAAAGTTTTCTAGAAATGCAATGTCAATGATTTATTTTTAACCAGTTAATCCCACTTGGTTCATCTTCCTTCAGACACTTCAGTTATTAATGTAATACAAATAATAAATCATTCAGGTTCTCTTTACACTTGTCAGACACATTTCTATGCTGTCTGTTTTGGCAGCAGCAGTGATGAAATACACTTGTTGACTGCAGTCACCACAATCTAAATAGATATCTGTCTTTCCTTGACACCATGTAATAGGAATTTGTGGATTTTATCCCTGAAATATATCTACTTGAAAAATTTTTCTACCATAGGCTTTAAAGTTGTTTTGTTTTTTTTTTTCTATAATGGTTTTGGTAACTTTTGGTATAGAGAAGGCAGGAAGGTTGTTTCCCACACAAAACATTCCTTTGAACATATATTGCTGTATTTTCTATGTGTTTCTTAGAATTCACATTTGTTCTTTTTCTGTCAGTTAAAAAAAATCATTTGCTCTTTTTATTAATGTGGTATAAAAGGAGCCTGAAGTAATGTTTTTTCCCTTCACCCCAGTGCATGATCCATCTCTTTCTTTTTTTTTTTAATCATTTATCTTCTTTTTATCAGGTTATTCAGAGGACTTCTTCACTTAGTTTTAGTTGTTCTTTGAACTGCGAAAGTTGCTAAATGAAATAGACAATTTTAATGGGGAAGTTGTCAGTCCTGTGGGTCTCTATTCTGCCACCTGTGTCTTTATCCTGTATGAAATAGAAATAATAATTGCATAAAATAAATAATTCTGTTAGAAAAATGTGTTGATTGGTAGAACAGCAGATGGATGTCTTTGTCTTTGACTGTGGAGTTATTTACTTTCTTTTTTCCCTCCCCCTTCTCTCTTTTTAACCATGATTGTGACATTGTAGAGCCAAACTTGGCAGATACAGTTAACAAGGGCCAAAAAATGCTCTAATTAGTTTTAGCCTATGATTTGATAATTATTAGTATGTGCTGTGGGGAGATGTGATGGTGGAGAGCAGGTGGATGCCTGAAGGAGGCTGTAACTGTGTGGCAAGTCTTCACTAGAGCAGGCTTCTGGCAGGACCTATGAACACGTGGGGAGTGGAGCCCAGACTTGAGCCAGTTTCCTGGTAGGATTTGTGACCCTGTCAGGTGCCATGCTGGAGCTTTCTGTTCCTGAAGGACTGCACCCCATGGAAAGGACCCACCCAGGAGCAGTTTGTGAAGAGCTGCAGCCTGTGAGAAGGACTCATATGGAAGAAGTCTGTGGAGGACTGTCTTTTGTGGGAGTGACCTCACACTGGAGCAGAGAAAGTGTGAGGAATGCTCCCTGTGAGGAGGGAGTGACAGTGTGATGAACTGACCACAATCGCAATTCACTGTCTCGCAGAGAGGTGGGAGGGAAGGAGTTCTCAAGATTGGGTTTTATTTCCCATTGCCCTTCTCTGATTTGATTGGTAATAAACTAATTTCCCCAAGTCAAGTCTGTTTTGTCCATGGCGGTAACTGATGAGCAACCTCTCCCTGTCCTTACCTTGACCCATGAGCAGCTTTGCGTACCTGCTGTCTAGACATGGTCAACCACAATGTTTTTCCTACCCCATCCTTACCCATGCAGTCTCTGAAGGTTTCTCTAAGTGCTTCTCCAACTCTCTACTCAGTTCTTGCTCTGCAGATTGCATTTTGGGTGAGTTGTAGTGTGTTTTGGAAGCATTTGGCTTATGGCACATACAAGTGTGCGGGTACTTGGTAGGATGGGAGTTAATGGCTAAATTTACTTGATCGATATTCTGGTAAGAAATTTCTAATTTAACATACAACTGCAGAATTTGTAGGTGTTTGTGAGAAGAAATATTGATTTTGATTGTAATACCCAAACATGACATTGCAGGTAAAATAAGACTTGCCAGCACTAACAATGACAAGGTTTTTATGTATTTAAGTTTTAGTTTCACTTGAGCTATAGGCTTCTTTCCTAATGTCATGGAGTTTATTATAATAATCTGACATACATTCATGAAAAGATTTATTTTACTCACAAGAAGCAGTGCACACAGTGATGCTGTAGAATTTTGAAAACATCCTTGGTATATCTTCCCCATTAAATTTCTACAAGGCACTCTGTGAATTTTTATGTAACTAAGTGGCTTTTATAATTTGATGTGGTGTGGTTTCTTTCAATCTTTGACTTAGCCAATATACTTCATTTTCCAAAAATCAACAGCATGTGGAGACCTAAAAAGCTTAAGAATTCATGAATGCAGGAACAGAATTTTGTCTGCAGAAGCAAATACTCGGAACGGGAAAAAAAGTCAAGTTGCGGCTTCCTTTGCAATTTTAACTACTTTATCCTATCTCCTCTCCTTTCATGTGTAACTATTTTATAGTTAATTATTTTCCAACTGGTTGTAAACTTTTTTATCATGTAGAATGTTTGATTTGAAAAATGTCATTTTTCCCTCTCTGTATCCGTATTAGATTTTTTTTGATGCTAATTAAATAAAATTCCGTGCAAAATGACCCATTTATCTGTGGGATTTTGAGGTGAACGACAGTGAAGCACCTTTGTGCTTCACAAAATTCATTAATTTATTTTAACGATACTCCTTGGTGTACTACCTGAATTATACATTTGGCAACTTAGACACAAAGGAGGAAAACCAGCATGAGAATTTTTAGCATATTTAACATCAAACAGACATACTGTCAGATTCAACTCTGTTGACAGGAACATTCTGCAATGAGGTCTTTAGCTCATTATTAAACAGAGCTCTAAGCTGGCTGTCACACATTGTAGATGATTATGGATGGTATGAAATACCTCATATAATTTCAGCATTTCTTTTCTAGAAAGGGATATGTCGATCTTGATGAGATAAGACAAATAAGATTATTCACAAACCCTGCAGCCCTGTCATGGTTTTGTAGGCTTATCTTTGCTGTTGTGTGGCATTTGCATACCTTGATGATTTTAAATTAAATTATATTCATAGGCTGCCTCAGTTTTTATGTAGCCCCACACAGGCTTAATGTTTGTAATTGTTTTTCTCAGATTGCATTGTCAAGGCCATACTTCAGAATCAGGAAATAGGTAAGTTATTGTTAGTTGCATTTGTCTTCAGTGGTGCATATATGCTATATACCAGAAAAATCACGTATTTTAGATTTGCTCTGGATGTTCCTATGGCATATACAGTCTTGTAAGTTTGTCAGTACTTAGTTAACATGTTCTGGAAATGTGAAGTTAATCATGCAGATGGGCATTTAGGAAGTCAGTGTTTTCTCATCTCTGTGGGTAGATGATGATTTTCTTTAAGACTAATTAGTAGGGTTATTAATCCAAACAATTAAATTCTCTTCTAACACTACAGCTGTCTAATTAACGAATCTATTAATTAATCAGTAAGTTCTCCAGATGTCTACTGAGATACTGTCCCTTGAGCAGCCATATTAGCTGTTGATTTTTTTACAAACCGAGGCCTAGAATCTTTCATTTGTTTGGTCGTATGTGAAGCAAGAGCCTGATTTATTAAAGTTGTATCTTTTCCTCTGAGTAAAAAGCTATCTTTATTGGTTATTTTTCACCTGACGTACATGTGACCAGATATTGTATCATTAAAATCTAAAGGAATGAAATTCAAATGCTTCCTTTCTAACAATCCAGAAAAAGCTCTTGCAGAAATGAATGTCACCGTAAAAACACACAAATAGCTTAATTGCTTTCAATTTCAAAAACCTTCTTACCTTGTGCCAGTAAGTCATGACCTTACCACAGTGTTCTTATCTATGGCATGCTGCCTTGCACTGCAGCTTGAAAACGTGCTGTCATTTGGGTCAAGTCTGGCAAAGTTAGCCAGTCTGATTCAATCTGACATAACATTTCTCAGACAGGAATGAGAAGTGTTTTGACCACACACAATGTGCACAGGTTTGAGCAATTAAAAAAAAAAAAAGTTTCTCTGCGTACTGTAATATGTAGGATATACTTTGTGTGCTGTGCTGGTCTGCTTGGTTTGTAACTTATTGAAAAAGTAGATTTTCAAAATAAGTGTTAAAACTTGTTATTTGACATCTTTTCTTTCATGACTAAAGCAATTAACTGTTTATTCAGTAATGAAATCAGAGTCATCTAAAAGTACTCAAAGTGATATTCATGCTTCCCTCTCTGTTCCATTGAAGCCAAGGTATATGTGACCTCGTCAGTTCTAATTATCGTACAACAGGTTGGGATGCAATTGCTAAGTTACTATAGCTGCATTTTTGCTAGCATTGTCTTCTTCTGCAGCAAGAATTTCTCTTCTTCCTTCCTTGTAGAATTTCCTCCCTTTCAATTTATGAGTTCTAAAAGAAGGTAAGGAGGGGGAATTTAAGCCTCAAGAAAATTGTATTCTTTTTAATTAAATCCTGGAATGTAAACAACACCCCCTCTATTCCTGTGTTGGTGGGCACAACACTCCAAAAACTTGCCAGCCCACAGCTGCCAGTGTTTCTGTATTATTGGAACATATGCAGAGTTGGCTGCTTTTCCCAGTGCCATGCATCCATGCTGAGGAAGGTGCTATACTGTGAAAGGACAGTGTCAGAGGAGCCAAGGGCATATGTTCTCAATTGTCCGTACTGGCATTTTGCTGGGGGCTTGGGCTGTTTAGGAAGGTAGTTTTACTGAGGTGACAGGCTGGGTTTTGCCAGCTGGCATCAAACTTACACAAACCACTGGCAACAAGAAACAAGTGCTTTGAATTAAACATTATAAGAGCTCAGACCTGAGCAAAACTGACTTTATGTAGGAAACACCTTATGCAGGATCCTTCAGCTTCTGCCCATTTTATTTAGTGTTAACACAGACATTTTAGGGAGCTTTGAGATTACGTTTGCTTGGTTTCCAGCTGAGCTTCTGGGAACTGAAGACTGAGCCAGGGTATAATTGTGTTTCTAGCTATAGACTGAGCTAAAGATAACTGCTAAGTGTTCATTGTCTGGACTATGTTGTGCAGAAACCTACTGTTGGACTATATCAATAGCTCCCTGCATGTGACTAACCAAGCAAACAGGTCTATCTGGAAAATAGAATGCTGGACAACCAAGGAAAATAAATCCTGAATCTATTAAAGGAAGAAAATAGAAAACCTAGCTCTACAAAACTCTTTTGAATTAGGAAGACCCTCAGCCTTCTCCAAGGGCAAAAGCTTTATTTAGCTTATCTTTTAAGAATTCTCAGTGTTTCTGTTTCTCTGAATTTTTGTTCTGGTATTTAAATGACAAATCTGACCAACTGTAAACTAAAAAGCTTTTGGTGGCAGCTGAACAAGTAGTATTTTGGTGTTCAGTATTTTTTTTTCTTCTAACTTACATAATGCTGCTCGGCTTAGGAGCGGGTACATAATATGTTTCTATTCCGATAACTGAAAAGAAGTACTTTAAAACCACCAACAAATAACTTCCTCCCCTTCCACCCCTCCCAAAAAACAAAACAAACAAAAAAACAAGCAAGGAAAAACCTTAATTATGTGAGCATTTACTAGAAAATAGTAACCAATAACATTATAATTTGATTTTAGAGTGCAGAGCTTTGTGTAGTTGCATCTTAAATATTTCCTTTGACTAAGAATCTTTAGAATCTGGCTAATTAGAAATGGAAAAAAACATTTTTCTTTCTCAACATCCCCACTCCCCTCCTAAATTTCCTCTTCTCCCTCTATATCATCCACCCTACCTTCCAAGCTCAATTCTTTACCTAGTTTTGAAATGGTGCTAGATATCACTTGCTATAATATTAGCCCTACTGTAGATTTAAGATTTGTTTGAGTGGTAAAGTGAAACAAACAAAACTCACTGTTCACCTACTTTTTTCTTGACTTTGCACTGTGTCAGAAAGTGTTTCACTCTGTGGTTCACAAGTCACTAATGATCTGGTAAGTATGTGCCAAATATTTGATCCTTAGCATGGTAACCAATTCCTTGTATCCCCTTAATTTTCAATTTTAAAATTTCATTAAAAGGAAGACAAAACCACATTGCTGATATTGCTCTTGTAAGCAACTTATATAGTCACTGAAAAGATGTTTTAAGACTTGTGAAAACTTGTCAGTTGTTATGAAAGATGTATGTAAGACTATGTTAAGATATAGTCTGTAGAATAAAATCATTTTAGAAATCCTGCTATCCAACCTAGACCTCAGTGTGTTCATAGATTCAAATCTGTGGACCAGTGCAGTGTAAAACCTGCATCTAAAACCTGCATCTAGAAATTTTCAGAGGCAGAATTAAGATCTGCTGATCTACAAGCCTGTTTATATCATGTTGATTGTATTTGTGTTTCTGAAATTGTTTTTTGGCAATGGATGCAAAGGTCTGTTTTTTAGTCCTGGCTCTATTAATATCTTGTTTTTTACCTGTTTTGTGTCCTAACCAAAGCTACGTATACAGTGTTTACTTCAATCACTTTCACTTTGTTTAAAAAAAAACACAACATGACTGTCACTCCTCTGTTACTCCTACACTCTTACACCTTACACTAGCACAAGTAAGACTACTTTACTGAGACAGAACTTCTTCCCTATCTTAAGTATTTTCTGTGTTATAGATTTTCACATTAAGTGCTGAAGAAATATAGTTTTTTTTATCACCGCAACTTAATGAGAAACTTCCTTTTAGGATGACCAAAGTAGATAATTTGTTGCATTGAGCTCCATTTTTGCCTAGGGCTGAGAGCTCCCTGAAGGGCATATGTTAAAAGCATATTTTAAAGGTGAGATTATTTCAAGAAATAGTAGTTTTTATCTCCCTGACAAACTCTTGTATGTGCTTGAATTTTTCACTTCCTTACTTCATTTTATTCCTTTGACATTAGCTGTTTGTAGTGTACAGATACACTTTTACTCCATCAGGATGTCTCCAGTGTAGTAGATTCTAGCTATACGAATATGCCAGCCAAATTTCCAAGCAGGCATAAATAAATAAATTCCAAAATGGGTCTCACAGAAATGGGTGCGTGTCTTTGGTCCCATTTCTTCAAAGAATCGGATAGCACAGAGGCTACTCTGTTTGGCAAAGACAGGTTTTTAAAGACAATTCAGTTTGAACCTTCTGTTTTTGATGTATGTACTAAGGATCTTTGAAATATGAATCGGTTTTTGTTCTCCCAGCCTACCTAAACACAGCTGCTAGAATGTCGAGTCTGTGCTGAATTAAAGTGGAAGGACCCTTTAGTTTCTTATTCAGGCAGACTGTCTCAGTATACAGTTCATGATACTTCAGCACTTTAAATAAATATGCTGTGTCAGGCATACTTGATCAAAGGTAGCCTTCTTCTTCTGATTAGGGCAGGTGAGCTTAGTGTCTGCTTTTTCAGGAGTGCTGAGCATCTACAAAGCTCTGAGTCCCTTGCATTTGCAAAGACTCAGCATCTTTGGAAGTCACACCACTAGCAATGACAAAATTGGAGTATCCAATTAGGTGATCTCACTGTAAGTCCAGTTAAATTATAGATGTTAGTATATTTACTGACTTGGGTAATTGTGTGAATGCATACTTGCATTGAAATCAATAAATGTGAAATTACTCAGTGCTTTTAAAAATCCAATTAGGCACTGAGACAGCTGAATAACTGCAGAAATCTGATGTATGGGGACATGAATTTATATGTATGGCATCCATTATGCTGGAAGACTGTGAAGGAAAGCTGAGGAATGAACTGCCCAGTCAATGGGGCATTCAGTGGCTAACTTCCATAAGCTTCTTTAAAGTCTAGGATCGCTGCCTCTGCTTTCAGAAGTTTGTGGTCTGTACGTGGGAAGAGAATAACTTGGCATACAACAACCCTGAAGCCCAGCAGTATGTTCATTGCCCTTGGCCAAGAAATATAAATATTGACCCATTGCCAAACTTTGTAACAACTTTTTGCTGAATTCTCTTCTCAGATTCATTCATGCAGTGCCATTAAGTTTGGTGTATGGAAACTAATAAACATAAAATGGAGCAATATTTGGGAGAGCAGGAACTCTTTAGAGGTTTGGTTTTGTTTGTTTGTTTTTCATTATAAGCATATTTAACTCGGTTTTCTTCTGATCTTTGTGTGAAATATCTAAACAT